ATGAGTCTCTACACATTTAAGCCTTATACTTTATTAGATAACATATTAGCCCATTTAAATTAATATTCATAGAACCACTAATTTTTGGGCCTAAATATAAAATAACATATAACATACCATTAAATCCAAGAAATAATATATTGTGAATAACTAAATATTACATGTAATATGAGTCCAATAATCTAACTTTCCCATCTCCGGTGAGATTGTCATCTTGTTAGAAATGACACCAAAATGAAATTTATATAAGGATAGAAGACATACCTCGATGTGAAAACATTTGCATTTTCAAGTATAGAAAAAGTAGATTAAATTTCTTGGCAATTTCATAAGAAATATAACATTTTCAAAATAAATAATGGAATTTACATAAAAAAACTCAAAAGATGGAAAGAAAAAGAAAAATGAAAATTTAGTAAGAAATTGCCTCCTTGGCAAAGTAAGTGGCATAAACTTGACATTTATTTGTCCAACGAGCAAAAACATTGCATTCTAAAATTGGTAATTTCAAAGCAAGTTTGTCGTCTGGTTCTGTGTAATGACATGAAAGCGCGATAATTTTTCTAATAACCATTAATTAATATGCATTATAAGATTCATAGTTAATTTAAATAAATAAATAAATTTTAAATCCAAATTGGTCGTTCATTGAAAGTGGGAACCTCTTTGGTCATCTAAATGTTTACAAATCTGAAAATAGTTCTTTATTTAATTTGAAAAACCAAAGTAAAAAATCAATATGAAATCAAAAAAATCCCAAGAAGAAGAAAATGGAGCGTGAGGAGGAGGAGGAGGAGATGATTACATGTTTTCACTAGAGAAATCGATGCCGCCGGTGTCGATCAAGAGGGCAGCTACGATTGAAGGCGGAGGACTGTGTTCCATCGAAGGAAGAGAGGCTCTATTCACGGAGAAATCATGAGCGAGGGAGAAGAGCTAGCCAATTGTTCGCAGACCCACACATCGATCAAGAGAAAGACAATTGTCTGGGTTTAATCACACGAGGTTCAAAATTGTAACCTGAAATCCTATTTATGAGTTAATAAACTTAAAGTCCCATTTTTTAAAAGGGTGGCTTATATTGATAATGAAACATTCAGCAAGGGACAACAGAGATAAAGGGAACACTTCCCGCCACCGACCCCCGAACCAGTCTGAGAACCAATCACCCTAAACAAAGTAATATGATTCGCTAATCCTGTAATGGGTCTAAATGAGCCTAATGTGGCCAAAGCAAAACCACCATCACCCTTACCTAGTGTAAGAGTCTGACAGAAATAAATGTATGTGACAAACAAAACAACATGACTTTTGAAGTAAAAACACAAGCAAACTAAAACAAAAACAGAGATGACCTTCCAAACCCTAGTCGCACAAATCCTCCATGGCGGCGGTTCAGGAGGGGGACGAATCACCATCTCTTCGTCTTCTTTCGCCCATACGAGATCAGCCGCGGAACGCTCGTCATCCATGCCAAGGTTCCCTCCAATCGACTGTGTGGTGACGCCGCCCCACTCCTGCTCCTTCCTCTGCAATACCAGCCCCGATGAAATCATCTGCAACACCTTCTCTTTGTTTCCGCTTCGAACTCCTTCTTTTGCCATCGCCCGAACCGCACAACAACGTAACCAGCTAAACTCGGACCTCCAACCCTTCGCTAGCCAGACTCCGTAAAACAAAGGGGACGACTCACGTACCTGACAAGCCACAGACCTCGACACTCAACCTCCAAAAAACCGTCGGACGTGCCGGAGCCGCCGGAAAAGAGAACTAGGGATGAACCCTAGAAAGACCGCCTCTCCAGGGTTGTAACTTGTAAAACCATTTTATATCATACTTAAAGTCGTATTTAGAAACTCTGATAATGTTTTAATCATATTTAGAGGAATTTCTTTTTAACTAATGATGCTATGACACTATCTTTGTTAATAAGTGAATATATCACCCTTAAATGTATATTTTAGTTGTTTTACCATTTATTTATGTTTAGGAAGAATTTGACTTTGCACTTCATATTTTAATTGATATTTGACTTTGTAACTCATTTTTAACAATTGTTATTAATGTATGCATCCTATCAACCTATTTGGCTATTTTTGAAAGAGTGAAGTACAAAGTCAAATGCTTTTATAGTATATTAAGGTGCATACATTAATAATTTTTAAAATATAATGCAACATCACACATCATCCAAAACATGATGTGCAAAGTCAATTTTATTATGTTTAAACGATTTAATTGTAATATTTTCATTGATCCAGTTATAAAAGATACATTGGGGGTGTTTGGTATAAATAGCGTTTCAATAAAAAAAATGGCGGTTAGACCATTTTGTCGTTTTCAATAATTGAAAACGTTGTTTGGTAAATAGTGGTTCGGCACTAACGTTTTTGGACAAAACCGCTGAAATGAAAATGTTGCGGGGGTGTTTGGCATATGACTGTAAGCTGTTAGACGTTGATTGATTTTGTTGGCTGATGGATAATATCGGATTCTGTTGGCTGTTTTGATGAGCAGATAGTATTAGCAGTTGGTAAAATGGTGTTTGGTTAAATAGTTGTTTACAATCGGCTGATAATTTGTTAAATGACTTTTGAAGACCTCAATTTATTTATTTTTTGTTAATGTTTTTTTTTGGATGAAGGGGTCTTATCTTAAAAACTTATAATTGTCAATGGGAGTTAGGGCATTTTAGGGTTGAAAAAAATGTTGGTGTAATCTCTTGCTTTATAAGATGGTACACTGTGTTTTGACATGTGTACTCTTTTAAAGGATTCTACTTCACCGTTTAATTCCCGTTAATAAATGTCGTGTGTTGCAGCTTCTGTTATCCCTAGCCATTGTTTCTCGCAGCAGGTCTAAAGTCTAATACGCGCCCTAACCGCACCGCGATAGCTCTCATCTTTTCCGTCTTCTCGCGCCTGTCCAGGTATGTTTACATTCCGTTTTTTTTCTCACCTTTTCTCATTTCCTTCCTCATTAATACCCATATGATATTGAATGACTTGTCATTCATTTGACCGGTTATGGATGATGTACGGGTTCATACTCTAGACCTCATGCCTTCAGAGCCTGGAAAATGTTCCACCCCTCATCCCGTCCTGTAAGAAGCTCTGTCGCTGCTTTCCTTCCCATGCCTGTGCTGCTTTTGATTTCGTTTTACTTTCTCACACTATGTGCTTCATCAGCTTATGAAATGTACTTTCAACATATAATCTGTTTGACTCTGATTTTTGTTTTCATGTGCTTAATTGCATATAAATGGAGCCAACTTTCCTGTCTCAGGTTTTCTTTCGGATTTAAGTGAAAAAAGCCTAACAAAGTCAATAATGTGGACGCAGTTAAGAAACCTATAATCTAATACACGGAGTAGAAGTATAGAACTTTAGTAAAAGTATTTAGTGTTTTAAGATTTTTTTTCTGCTTTGTATTTGGATGTAAATATGTAGTATTCATAATCCTGATCTCAATTTCTGATTAAGTTAATTTACTTGTGCAGAAATGGACAAAAGTGGCAATACTTCAAATCATGACAATTTGTCATCGCTATAATTTATCATCAAATGTGTTGAGGTAATCCTATAGCAATTTGCATCTGTATGTGTAATATCTATGGTCACTGTCATTTATCATCTGAGTATTGTAATAATTCAGATTGTTGTTTATAAAAGAATTTAGTAGCCACAATTATTTTGTCTACTAAATAAAGAAAGGAAAGAAATGACAGATTATAAAATGCTTTCATTACACCTAAATCCTTTTCATTCAAAACCTTGTCAAGGGCAGACCATTATTATGATTTATTCTATCATATAACTACTTGAAAATAGTCCTGCTATTTTTTTTACTCAAGTTGCTACATAAATAAAGTGCAGTATCTGTTCTTATCTATTTCATATCTGATATATGGGCTATTAGCTCACACGATATTAACTCAATTTTTTAAGGGGAAAGCCCATTAAAGTATCTTGCTGTCAGGGCTTTCAAGAGTCCCTTGAGCGTTGCACTACCGCTCAGGTTCACCCCTCCCTTTTTTATGTTTTTTTAGCTAATTTTTTTTTTACTAAAGTAATATAGAAACACGTCTGGTGCGTGATTAACTTATATTGATTGAGCTCTTTTATTAATACAAAGTTTTAAATTACTCCATGTACTCGATACTCATTGTGTTTTGACTTCCAAATACAGGAGTTTAGAGACCATTCGGAAAAAGTTCTAATTAGTTATGTACTTCGTATATTATGAAAAGTGGGTTTATTTCTGCACGATTTGGTGGGAGGGTGGTTGTTCAATATGCCGCAATTGCTGATCGTGGTAGGAGGTCGACCTGTATTGGGACCGGGTCAGGATAGTGAACTGTGAACATAATACGTTACACAGGGTCAGGCAAGTAAAACCAGCGTCTTTCAATCAAACTTTTTTGTAGCTAGAGAAGATTTCATAAGATTCAGTAGCTAGCGGATCATTCTTCTCGAGACTGAAATCAAAGGTTAAAATTTCACATTAAAAACCAATTTAAGATGACATCAATAACCATTCTCCAATTTTTAAACATAAATCATATGATGATGAAGTTCATTTGGCAGCGGCACTTAAACCACATACTAAGATATCATATATGTTTAGCAAACTTCTAGAAGATGATTTTCGACTGCTTTTTTATATATAGAAAAACTACATATAAATACATGCCAGAGGTTTACCAAATTACATGGAAGATAATAACTTAAGGTATTTTTTTTTTGAGTAGGTATAGGAACTGGTTCCTATTAATGTGAATAATTGTTAGTCAACATCATTTGTTCTAATGAACTTTTATCATGCTTTCTTTTACGTCTATGGGATGACACAAATGAGACAAACAAAAACATAGGCATAAATTCCCATAACTTTTACATGGGTATTCTTACTAGGAATAACATTCGGAAAAGACTCGGACCTAATTCCACGACATATTGTCAAAAAAGATTATTTAAGAAACTTCTTTGGATAGTTATATAGGATCATGCTCTTATTACTGAGAATAGCTCTAATGCAATAGCAATTGTTCTAATGAACTTTAATCATGTGCTCTTCTAGACATGTGGGATATCACAAATGGGCATAAACGAAAACATAGGCGTAAACACAGGGCAGCCACCCTCAAACAAGAGTTTGTGCCTACTGAAACTTTATTTGTGCCCTAAATGGTAGTCCAGCCCCCTAAATGGTAGTCCAAACAATAACCTTTCAATCATCACCCAACCTGGTTTGGGTAAAAGTTCATATCTCGATCCTATTTAGGTCAAAAAAGGGAATTGAAATATGAAAAAAATAATATATGAAGGAAATATATATAACACAGGGTACATATCTTGACACACTGTATTACTCAAATTGGATAATTGGATTTTCACTATCATCATTATCAAAATTATTAAGAAGTCATAAGTATGATTTTTAATCTAATGATCATGTTGCCCCAGCTTAGGCCTCCTCTACCAGTTGTGTGAAAACATAAAATGAAGTCTTATATTTCATTCTGACTTTATTTCAGGAAGACTCTATTGAATTTTCCCTATATTTAACCTCTAACCCAGGCCTGCTGTACAACTCCTTTATTGCTTCAGGTTGTGGGAAAAGGTAAGGGAAAAATCACAGATGACATAAGGATGAGAGAAGTGACAAATCTTAAAATCTTATAATTGTGAGTAAGAGTTAGGACATTTTAGGGCTGAAAAAATGTTGGTTTAATCATTTGCTTTATGAGGCGATGCATTGTGTTTTGAGTTGTGTACTCTTTTATAGGAATTTTCTTTTCCGTTTAATTTCCGTTAATAAGTCCTGTCTGTTGCTCTTCTCTTATCTCCAGCTTTCCTCCATGACCACCACTTGTTTTCTACTCTCAGAGTCTCAGCAGCTTCTAAGTTCTAACCCTGGTATCCGCCTTAACCACACTGCGTTATCTCCCATCAATTCCGTCTTGTCAAGCCAACCGTCCATGTATCTTTCCATTCTATTTTTCTTGCTCAACTCTGATCATCTCCTTTGGTCTCACTGCTTTTCTTCCCCTGTCTGTCCTGCTGTTAATTTTTCTTTTCATGTGTTTAATTACCTAAAAAAGGAGCCAACTTCCTTGAAATCTCTTTGAGTTTAAAGTGTGCTAAGCCTGCATTTGTAGCCATTCCAGTTATTATCTTTTTAATGTTCTATTGCTTCGTTTTTCTATCTTTTGAAAACCATTTGTTCTTAAACAGTGTCTTAACAAATGAAAATCAGTTTAGTTTTAAATATAGATGTTGAAATGGTTGTAAAATTATGAAGCACACAAAGTTTGTGAATTTGTTTGAGTGAGAGTCTGTTGTAAAATTATGAAGCACACAAAGTTTGTGAATTTGTTTGAGTGAGAGTCTGTCTTTTCTCATTATCCATAACATGCTTATTGATTATGTAAAGTGTTTTTTTGACATTTCAAAGAATCATTTGAAAAGTTAAAATTAGATCAAGAATCTGTAGACTAGAGAGTACATTAAACATAACTAGAAGCTAGACTTACACAATTGCAGGTTATCTTTTTGTGTAAAAAAATGTAAAAAAAAGGTCCTAAAAGAGCTTGGGAGAAAACTGGGATGAGTTCTAATGACCCCACATTTGCGAACAAAAGTGCACCCAGCTTGCTCCCTCATGAGCATTGTGCCTCCTCTAAAATATATGAAATGGCGAACAGTGGGGTCAGCTAATATCTTCAGCATTCTATTTGGTTCCTACTATTTCACTTTCTTTGCAATCAGTCAACCTCCTATTTCACGGCCTCGGTTTTTCTTTCACTGATAAGCTTAAATTTGTAGCCATGTATCATAATCTTCTATTTACACTAGAAATATGGAATGCCAGCCACTGAAGCATCGTCACATGTACGGAGTATATGTCACAAACTTATTTATTCCATAGCTTCCTCTCAACTTCTATGGTGTTCGTGTAAGTGAATACACACATTTTACCCACTCCCAAGTCGATCAAAGTCCTTTAAAAATGAGCAAATTGCTTATGAAGAGTAGCGGTACAACTATGATCACTTTTTGCTCATGAAATTACATGTGTGTGCAGGTCTTTTATATTCTTAAATACATACATAGTTCAAATAGAGTCAAATCATTTCCTACTACGTACGTTTTTAATTGTTCTGTGTTATTTTGTATCTTTACTAATATTGTATGTATACATCAAAGTGTTTAAGTAGTTACCTGTTTCAATGTTTTTTTGTTTTGTTTTCATGTGTTTAATTACATCAAAAAGGTAAATTTTTGGGCTATTAGTAACATAAACTAGAAACTGGGAGAATTAATACAAATCCCATTGGAGCACTAGCTGAAATCAGAAAAATTGGTCATTGGAAGGATAAAAATTAGTAACAAAAACCAGAAGAATTAGCCTTGTTTTTTTTAAATGTTGTATGATACTTTAAATATTGCATTACAAAGTATCTATTAATCTTTTAAAGGATAAAAAAGGGTTGTTTATATGTCAAAACATGTCATTGGAAGGAATATAGACATTTGTATGCCTAAGTAAAGCAATCTCTAAATGTAACTTTTTTGAAAAGTAAACAACTTACATGAATGAAGAAAACAAGATAGTACAGATTTACTTGCAATATTTGTGTTATTAAAATATATATAAAAAAGTTCTTAGGCTCAATTAGACACTAGCTACTTTGTATCCAATTGAACTTATTTTAATTATTTTTGGAAATTAGTGCCTTCCTATAATCACGCGACTTCAATTTTTAAACAAGCCCTTCAAAAATATCTTCTCAAACTAACTGCATCAACATGCCATGTAGGGAGGGCTTATGTTATTTCGAATAAGACAAGTTAAGAATCTATTCATACGTATACATCATGTTACTTATGGATGGATATCCTTGTTTAATGTTCAACACAATTTATTTAATTATTTACTAGATATATTGGACTAACATCTATCCTTTTTTGTGCATAGGTCAGTGGTTTTATATGAGGAGTAGTTCAACTAAAGCATGCATTATCAAAGGGGATTCAAAGTTGTGGGTTCTCACTACTCGAGGCACCAAGTTCACATTTATTTGACACTTCTTTTTTGTATTTGCGCCCTTCTTCTTTTCTCCAGATATTGTATAAATTTGAAAAAAAACTACATACTTGTGTTAAACAAAATACATTGGGCATTATCTCGATCGCGCATCGCGCGTTACAAAAACTAGTATTAGAATAGAAGCATTCAGCAAGGGTCTAAAATAATAAGAGTACCACCGATAATCATCCGTCCTTGGGCCAGCCGTTGAGTTAACCACCTTCAAGAAAGTAGTATAACTCGCTGATCCTAAACTGGACATAATTGAGCCAACAATGGTTACTGCGGACCTCTCATCACCCAAACATAATGCAAGAGTCTTACAAGAAAAAACAAAACAAAAACAAAAAACAACAGTCTGAACGTGGAACGAAACATAACAAACAAACAGAAAATAAACACCAAATTGGATCTTTTTCACCCGCAGACCCACGAACATATCAGGCGGGCCTAAGAACTCAGACCCACCTCCTCCCCGTTTTTTTCTTTGTCCAGTGTCATCTCCTCTCCTGAGTTGTTCTCCTGCGTCGGATCCTTCCAGACTCGTCTATGTTTCTAGTCAACCGAGACCTCTCTGGAACTGCTTTTGTCCTCTTCCTTTGTGCCGTTACCTTATGTCTCGGCTGTGTTCCCCTTGCGCCCCTATCTCATAATGCCTTCATCTTCTTGATGAACCCTCCTCTGATGACTCAGATCTCCCTGTTTATCCACCAACCACTTACTACCTCTTGTGGGACTAGTCTTTCCCCCTCCACCTGCTCTCAGATTAACACTAAAGGATTTCTCCAGATCAATATCTTCCACATATTTCAGTGGGCGAAATTTCTCAGAAGGTCCCATTATTCCACAAATAAAGCAAAAATTTGGTAATTTCTCATACTTGAAATCTACCTAGTGTCCTTCGCCCCCCTTTGTCAAAGTAGAACCCGTTTTTAGAGGTCTTCTCACGTCCATCTTGACCCTAACTCTCAAGTATGAACTCCATTTTGCCTTAAAATGGTGTTCATCAAAACTAATAAATTCCCCAATGTAATTATCCACTCTTCTAGCAGTGCCTTCATTCATAAACCCATATGGAACATTGTGCACTTGCACCTAAAACTCAGATTCAAACAAATTCATTTTATGTGGTATATCATTAGGGCCAACCACCTTTAGCAATAACAAATTCCTCTCAAATAGCCAAGGACCATCCTCCATAACACGATTCATATCAACTATATGATAAAAGGTGAATATGTACCTTTTTTCGTCAATTTCTTGGACTGCCATTCCTCTTCCTGGTCTCCAGAGCGATGCAAACAGGTCCTGTACTGCCTGAATTCGGACTTTTCGGTCTGTAAGGATGACACCCACCACCGGGAATTCCGTCTCTTTCGTAGTTGGATCGACCTCCTCCTCCTCATCATCATCGAAGTTGAGATTGTTGTTGTCTTTTTCCAAAGCCATTTTTCTGTATTGTTCCACCACCTCCTCCATATATTAAAAGAAGAAGAATTCCTATCTGTGTATTACCCCTCTGCGTCCGAGCCTTCGATCACCGCAAAAAGACGAACCAAAAAAAGAAAACGAGGAAAAACGAGAACAACCCCTGCTTCGGCGAATCCAATCGAGAACACCAACACCCACCTCCGTTCCCGTTCCAACCTTATAGTGAAGGCTGATACCGAACCCTAGAGAGAAGATTCCATTGGTAAAATTGTATTGAGTTTTTTGAAATTAAGGATTTTTGTTAATGTTAGGAACATGTTCTTCATAAGCTATAAAAAAATCTCTGTTTTTTGAATATTTATAAACCTATAAAATTTTATCAGAACTGCTAGTCTATGATCATACAATTTAGGCCTACGGGAAAGTTCCTGAAATATGACTAAAAGAGTTTGAAAATTTCAATATAGGATTGCCATGTTTTTATTTCCAAAATAGGACTAATTATTGCCAAGTTTCGAAAATACCATCTTTGAAGTCTGGTACTGTCAAAACATGACAATATTTAGCCCTATTTTGAGAATAAAAATATGACAGTCCTATTTTGAAAATTTCAAACCTTTTTAATCCTATTTTGGGTAAAATCTCCTGATTAATCTGGTCAAAAAGCCAAATAATGGTCAAAACGGTCAAAAAATGGCTGATAGACTCCTAACCAAACACCCCTGCAAATAGGAGAGTTTTGGGTTAAGCTTTGAAATTTGGCATTTTCTATTAATTTTATGGCCAAATAGCTAAATCATCAAACATTTCCTCACAATCCGCCAATTTATTCTGCTAGTTAAACCCGCTGATTGAATCTGCTATTAACAACCGCTAACATAATCCGCTAACCGATAAATGCCAAACACGTCCATTAATCTTAATCTTATCAATCAAATCACCAGAGAATATTTCTAGTATTCAACATTTTTTTATCATAGTATTCAACATTTTAATAATATGGAGTATATAATTAATCAAACAGTCACGTTGATCATAAAAAGTCGTGTAAACGCAAATTATTCTATAAAAATTTATGAGGATCGTTTGTAAAACATAGTAACATACTCGGTGTATTTTTAAATACGTAGTATCTGAGTCAAAACGAATCTCGATATCAAACTCGAAAGTCAAGATCTCAAATCAAAACTCCAAAAGTCATGTTGATTTTTTGAAAAAGGAAAAGTATTTACTTCCAACGGTCGAATGTGTTATAAGGAAACACTGGGCCATACCATTTTTGTTGGGTTCCCAACGGTAAGAAAAAAATACGGAGTACATAATTGCAAAGTCAGCCTTAGATTACCCATCAGGCCCAGCCCACAAGCCTTCCCGCGTAGGTCCATGGAAAAAGGCGCGAAGGCAATGAGACACGTCGAAGGCGCGAAGGCAAGGAGACATTGGCGCCAAAACCCTTCAGATATATAATCGCAACCTCTGGATTCCTGTACTGCGCATATTTTATTGCATAAGTTCCAATCTGCCGATCTGATAATGGACTCCACAGAGCCTTCACTGCTTGATTTCTTCAAATCGGAGAAGGTGTTGGGCTCTAGTTCGAAGCCACTGAATTCGTCGCCGGCGGTTGAGATTCCGGTTGCGGATCCATTGACTTCTAAGACCCCCCAGAAGCCCATCAGTGCTCCTCGGCAGAGCAAAAAAGGCAATGCCGCCTTCTCTTTGAAACAGGTCAGAGAAGCTGCTCAGAAGCTCCATAATTCAGATCCGGTACCATCTGCTAACGACGATCCATTCGCCGATCAAATTTTGAGGCACCCCGGGCAGCATGCTGTTTCTTTTCCTGAATCTTCTGTTACAAAGCCTAGGAAGCCAAACAGTTCAGCCAAGCTTCCAGAAAAGTAAGCAATTTTAGAACTGGACATATCTTTGCCGGATTGTTGTGCTTAGAAGAGTTCCAAACATTAGAATGTTGATTATGTATAACGATGTTTCTATACAGCAATGTTTTTTTGGTCGGTCTTTAGATTTTGGTTTACTGGACACTATTTATTATCATGATCTGTCTCTTTTTACTGAATAATTTCTGGTTTCCAAATTGCAATTCTACAAATTTCGGAATTTTCTCTAATATCTGTATTTCTCTAATATCTGTATTGGTTCTATGTATTGATATTTTTACTGATTATATGTCAGGTATGAAATGTTAGTTAAATTCTTCAATTGCCTGGATAGTTCTATCAGATTACTAAAGAGGAAGGGATCATTGACAACATTTACCAATATTAGACCCAATATTGAGAGCTTGTCTGACAGGTATGGGAATCAAGAACTGTAGATCTCTTTTACCGTTTTTACCCAAACTAAAGATTTATCCAACAGACAACGTTATTAAGCTATGCTAATTGATTGATTTTGTGTTAAATTTGTAGGAGGTTTACTCGCAGTCATCTTGCGCAGTTGAAGTTTATTTTACCAGAGGCCATTGTATTAAAGGAGGACCGTCTTTGGGATGAGCTTACACTATGTATGAAGCCTGATATATGTGTTACACTTGATGCCAGTACAATTGTGAGTGAAGTAAAGACAAAATCAGGCAGCACCATTATAGATATGAGGAAAGTATTTCGAAAGAGGCTTTTGGATTTTATCCAAGACCATCCACGGGTATGCACTTTTCTGCATGTAGTTAATGCGTTTGGTTGAATAAATCTCATGTTTCAGATCTGTAGAAATTTTGAAGGGCTAGTTTTGGCAAGGATGTAGGGGTGATATTAGATTGTTTCAGTTTCAAAAAAATGTGAAACAACAGAACAGATAAACTTGGGTCTGTTTTTGTTTAGCCATTTCAGGTGGGTTTAGTTGATTTTCAAAGTCTAAGATGTAAACCTGAATTTGGGCTATATGTGATTAAATGGGTTTGGTCATGTTGGTTGCTTTGGTAGGTTTTCTAATCAAAGTCTAAATCTTGGACATCTAATTGAGCCTTGGGTTATACCATATTTGGTTAATACAAGTCTGTTAGCGGTTTGTGTTCGACTGTTTGTTTGTTTGTTTATTCGTTTCTTTGTTTTGTGTATAAATCTAATAATAGTTGATCATGTTTTGTGCACATAGGAGCATCCTGACATTCCAGAGGAGGAATTGCCAGAACCATTCAATAAACCAAAACATGGCACTTTGAGGAAGGCACCAAATGAGGTCTTGTCTGCACAGAAGCATAATGTGGGCTCCAACCCCAACCCATTCGACCCACCAGCTTCATCTTCACATCTGCCTCATTCGTTTAAGCGCAGCTTCTCTAAATGTGACCAAACCAATACAGAATCTTTTGCTAACTCTCATCATAATGAACTACGCTTAAAACCCAACTGTACCAGATTCCCTCCGCATCCAAACACTCCCATAAAGGATCTACATCAATCCATAACTGAAGAAAGAACTCCAGCTAAGCCTGTATTCACAACAGGAGTGATGACTTCTACACCCACGCCCCAACCTCCTCCTAGGAGAGGATATATGAGTCCTCAGGGTGATTCATCTAAGCCCCCAAACAAACTGTCAAAGCGCCCTTTGAACTTTGATTCGCCAGTGAAGAATGAAGTCGGTGAGGCTGAAACATGTTCTTCAGCTTACCGTGATATGCTGGGTGTTCTTTCTGAGAATATTTTGGA